TGTGTTTTGGTCAACGGTACCAAATCCCCCTACCTTGTCAACCCTGTTGGGGTTCCACAAGGTTCCATTCTTGGACCATTACTGTTTTCACTGTACATTAATGACTTGCCTAATGTATGTCCTAAGTTGAATGTGAACATGTATCCCGACGATGCGGTCATCTTTGTACACGGGAAAAAGACTGAAATAATCTCATCCTGTCTCTCAAATGCTTTGGACAAGGTTCAACACTGGCTGAACAACATTTGCTTACAGTTAAATGTAAAAGAAAAACAGTATGCATGATGTTCAGTAAACGACCAGTAAAAATCGAAGGATCTAATGTGTAATGTGTAATGGATCAGAAATAGAACTAGTCTCCCAGTTCAAGTATCTTGGAGTCATACTGGACTCAAACTTGACTTTTAAGAAACATATTAAGAAAGCATCCAATACTATTAAATTCAACTTGCAAAATGTTAAACAAATTAGACCCTTCTTAACTGTCAATGCTGCAAAGTCATACCTCCACTATATGATTCTATCCCACATTGAATACTGTTTTAGAAACTGGTCGTTTGCTTGTGCCACAAACCTGAAACCGATAGAACAGCTGTACAAGCGGGCTATCAAGGTGTTTGACCGAAAGCCATATTCATACCACCACTGTACCATCCTAGAAAAACACAATTTCTTGAGTTTTTACCATTTTAAGTCTTTTAAAAGTATGTGCTTTTTTTATAAATGTTTACATGGACTGCCAATCTGCTATCGGGATGTTAAGAGCATTCCATGGAATATAACAATGGTTGAACGCACTTATTGTAAGTTGCTTTGGATAAAAGCGTCAGCTAAATGCAATGTCATGTAATGTAATGTAACAAAAAGTGTATCTCGAACCGGTTTCTCAAACTTACCTACCCCACCTTTAAGTCCGCCGTAAACTGACCACTTTTGGACAAAATATCCTCTCCATTAAGGGCAGCTCATTGTGGAATAGCCTCCCAACTGAGATACGGGATAGTCCCACCCTCAATAGCTTCAAAGGTCAACTCAAATAATGATCGAGACAACAGTGTCTGATAAGATTACTGTAAATGGAAACTATGATTATAAAGTGAGTACCATTCATAGATATTAAAGTGGTTACCACCTAAAGTTTCATGGGTGGACCAGACGTGATATTTAATGACAACCACATTCTAAATTTTCGGCAATCGAGACAGTCGACTTAAATCGAAAAAATTCATTAAGGACGCTGGAGAGGAGAAAAATAATTATCAAATAAAATCGTCCCTGTTACGTGCATTACTTGTGAATTTGTAAGTTACACAGTTCGCACACACACGGTCTAAATTGAAACTGATTAAAGCAGGGAGGTTTTTTTGTAAATTCTTCAAATGTAAAAATGTTTGATCGTTTTGTTTTATGTACTATATTGTTTTCACTTTTTCTCATTCTTGTCGTATGTGTCTCCATAAATGGTGTGACCCGCAGTTATATCGTCGTTGCTGTATATTTCACGTTCTGTTCTATTTCTCGATTGATTTCACGCTCTCTTCTATGGGACGACAAAATTTCACGTCAATCGCCACTAACGTGCAGACANTATGGTTGCACTCAAAGGGCTGGTTGTAACTTTAAGACAATATAAAAAGACATATATAAATATTTAATATATATTCTCACAGAGAACCAGGATGGTGAACCAGGATGGATATTTAATATATATAAAATAATGTGTTACATCATTGCCTCTGCATTGGATTATTATCGGATAGGGTAATAACTTCATAATTAACTACGTCTGAAAGCAGAAGTCTAGAGCAAATAATTGCAAGTCTCTTCAGTGAGAATTTGCCAAAATGATTTTAAAAGAAAAGCAAATGAAAAAAAAAGTGACATTTTGAAAAAAAAATGTGTGACATTTTGAAAAAAAATCAAATCTGGGAAAAAAGTCTAATTTGAGATGCATTGTGCTCCATGTCGTTTATGGGCAACGTGCTTCTGTAAATCGCCATGTAACCGTATAACAAACATATTATATTCTTTGCAAGCTCTTGTGGGCCCACATAAAATGAAGTCGCGGGCCGGATTTGGTCCCCGGGCCTTGAGTTTGACACCCCTGGTTTACAGTGTATCACAGTTGCATTGTGTATTGAATTTGCCTGCATTAACAGCTAAATGGCAACAACATTTCTTTTTTAAAGGTGGATAAATGTTGAGCTTTTCCGCACTATCGCCACATTACAATTCCTCATACTGGATGTGATGATACAGGCTCTGCATTAATCCACTGTAAATGATATTTAATGAGTACAACATGGTAGCTCCACTTCACATATAGCCACGAGACCCTCTTTACAGTTTGCCTGCAGAGGTGATGTCCAGGTAAAGGTTTACATTTTAGTTCGGAAACAAATGAGTGACCCCCCTTTGAATATGATGAAGAGAATCAGTCTATTAGGACATCTCAGAAGATTACAGATGGGAAATGGGAAACGAGGACGAGAAAAAGAAAGCTCTGCGCTCAAAGATGGTGAAATTATCATCAGAAAGCCTGGGTATAATCTCTCCTGAATAGAATTCTATTACAATGTGGCACCATGTGATAAATGCCCGGGCTGTCAGAAGCTAGCAAGCCGACTTCAATGAGCTCTTAAAAAGGAATCAGGCTGACTGTTAACTGTTACACAAAGTAAAGAGGCCAACAATCACATTAAATACTAGGGGTTGAAGTGTGGCTCCTGCTGAGATGAAAAATAGCTTTATCAGATTGATTTTCACTCGGCTAAAAATATCCTTCTGATGCCAGTCTTTTGCTGCGTGTAAACAGAGCCTTTCATGCAGAATATCAAAGCTTTTTCTACCTGATTACAACTCAATTTGTTGCACATGTATCTGCGGGAGTTCATATCAGAACGGAATAAAAACAGAAGCGGGACATAGCGTCATATTTTCCTAATGACTCCCGTGTACTGACGGTGCTAGTAACTGGGTGTTACTTACAGTAGGTATTTCTACATTACAAAAGCCACATTATGTTATTCTGTATCAATTAGATTTTATAATTTCATGTTTTGTCAACTATTTTCTTGAAGTCAAAAGATAAGTTTATTAATTAAATAATCAAATAAGGCAAAAACAATGTCCTGAAATGAAATGTTCACCTTGATTATTTTCACCAAATAACAATTTTAAATAATAGGAACCAGAAAATGCAGACAAATACCATCATTTAAAAAACTGAAATCATATATTATTGTTGCATTGGTTGCTTGATAAGTGACTAGAACAATTGGTCAAATGAATTAAATGTTTATTCTTCAACTGTTTATATTATGTATTCTAAAATATGAAATAAGACTTGAACTGTGATGAACAATAGTGATTTGCTTTGTCTCTTTTTTTCTTTAACATCAGTGTTTTCTTGTAACCCTAGGTTGATATCTCTAACTTGAAAGTAGAAGACGGATAAACCTCAATTACACCATAGTCGAATACTGTAATTGTTAGTATAATACTGTAGTACATAGTCCTGTATTATAATAATTCCCCAGTAATAATAGTATTCAATTATCTGTTGGTCTCTCATCCACTCATTGAACTCCTGTAATACCCAGCGAGCAGTTCTGCTGCATTACAATCTGAAACATGGTGAGCTGGAGTGGGTTAAGCATCTACCAAATTCCCTCAAGGATTCCTCCCTCTTGTCTCAGGCACGTTGAGAACCACTGTCACACAACGAGAATTACATGGCTCCAGATAGGGGGCACAAGATGGCGGCACGTGTGACTGTGCATACAGGGTCTGCCTGCCACTCCAGATCCCTGTAAGCCGCTGCTTATCACGGCCCTCTACTGTGGAAATATACAGACATGGGGATAGGGACACCGAACAAAAGAGATTATCTCATTCATTTGTAGGTGACTTGTGATCCATGTTGTCTTACCTACTTTATATTAATAATTGTTAGGGAATCATTTGCTTAGGTATTCAACTTTCAACCTCCAACCAAGTTCATCATTTTCTCTTCTCACTGTCTCCTTTCTCATGGCATAGGTCTACGGCCTTGGGTATTGCAGCTATCTCTCTTAAGGAGGGGCAGCTTGGGCGCATTGTTGTTGCCAGTCTATGACCGAGCACAAGCCGCCATGAGGTTCCCTGGCGCACATTCTTTCCTATGGACGAGAGCTCTAGTTAGATTCAGGGTCCATATNCCACCCTCAATAGCTTCAAAGGTCAACTCAAATAATGGTTGAGAAACAAACAGACGTGCAATCACCGCTAACTGCACTTTAACACAGGGGTATCTTCTCTCGCACTTTATGTAGCTCTTTATCTTGTCTTGCACTTTATATGTCGTTGCTGCTATATTGTACTGCCATGTGGTAAATACTTGTGTATGCTGTTCTTACTCTTTTTCACTTTTTGTATATCATGTATTTTGTTTTTGCTATGTTTGTAAAATGTAAACTTCTTAAATGTTTTTTGTGAGGGACGGAAATTAGCTCAAAGTTAAATCTGGCACACACACGCTTGACACATTTGAATGTTTTAAGTGTTCATTACTGTGCATTGTCCCTGCTAAATAAACTATTAAATAAAAAGAGGAATGTCTGCAGGAATTACTTAAAAAGCTTAAATTCAGCTGACAGAGCTAACGCTTTTAATCTTACACCAACAGTACATTTATAGTCATACCATTTTACTTTGAAAGTCCACCATTGGTGAAATATAGAAACTTACCATGAGTGAAATATAGTATCAAAGGTAAATGTCATTAGATATCTGTGACAACAGACTATATATTTGTGACCATGGCTTTTGTTAGCACACCATCTAATATCTACACATCTTGCTCTGTCGGATGTACTTCTTCTTTTATCTCTTAAGTGTAACGTTATACATTTCAACAAATGGTTATTTTCTTATTTAGGTCATTTATAACAACAGATGTAAAGGTTTGGGACAAGGTGTTTGGCGCTGCCTTAGCCAATTGTAGTGACTGCCCAGGAGGCAGTGCAGCTATAATTGGGGATCTGGGGAAAATGTATTCAGTGTAATGTAAACAAATGTAGTGATCTACTGTCGCTCCTATCTTAAATAGTACAAATTATAAACCAGCCACACGAGACACACAAAAATCTTCCTCTACCAGGTGAAACAAAGCCTGAACCGTCTGCAATGTAATGAACTTGCTAACTCACCACTATGGATCATTCAATACTTTTTGTAAACAATAATTTGTTAAAGTGGCAAACTGTTTTCTAAATTTTAATATATTCTTATTTTTAATCTCCTTCTGTATGTAAATGCTCCTACTTTTCTTTTTACTTAAAAATTCAGCATGATAAACTATCCTATATATGTATATATATATATATATATATATATATATATATATTCTCATTCAAATCAATATGGTCCTCACATAACACAGAAAGTACACACACAAAAACACACACTTATCTACATTGACTGTTTGCTGTTTGTGTGGATTAAGAGGGATTACACTTCACATCCTTCAGTGCCTTTTGGGGATTTGTGTATGAGTGTGTGTATTTTATTTCGTGTTGTTGTGCGTTCCAGCCTTGAGCTTTCGATGTCTCACAGCTTGTATAGGCCTGCAGAGGGCGGGTGTTTATATTTGGCAGTCTGGATCTCGTCTATAGGTTGGTATGAGGGATCTGCGGGTGACAGGGATGTGCTAAACACCGACTGAAGTGCCTGCGGGTTCAGATCTGTCGCTGCAGTTATTTGCAGTCACCATATTTGGAGAAAATAAGTCTTCTTTCATTTAAAAATCTTGAATTTGTATACAAGCTCCACAAAAGTTGTGGTCCTGGATTATGTGTGATGTGCTCCTGGCTTTGACATATAAACTAACATTTCAGTTTATGGGGAAGCATCAAAAGGAGCGCATTGAATTTAGAGGTTGTAAATTAATGTATGCGAAAAGGCTTTCGAGATGAAATATAAGGGATTAACACCAAAGAACACTATTATCTACATTTTGCTTGCAGAACATATACTTATTTGTAATCCTCACTCCAGGTACTGGGCCATGTAGGCTAATACAGCTCTACAATGTCTGTGCAGGATCATCGTGGGAAGCTCTCAGCAGTAAATGTTTACATGCGGTTTCTGGCTTTTGTCCAGCACTTTTTATAAATGTGATATTATGGCTTGAGTCTCTTTCTTGTTGCAATATCTAGCACAACCTTTTTTTTTAAGTCCGCAGAAAGTTTATTTGGGTCAGACTCATTACTCTGGTGAATCCACAGTGTAAATATATATTTAAATTATTTGTATAGAGAGTTTTCAAATTGCTTGTCCTGTCCATACCTTACTGTGTTGTTTTTGGTTAATTTGATTATCTTGCCTTATTTACTAAAGGAAAGGATTGGGGCTATTAAAGTTAAAAACAAACAAAAAGAAGGGACTTTAAAGCTCGCTGTTATTGTAATGCAGTTTATATGTTATGTTTCTATATTGAAAAATCAAACTACTTTTTAGGTAATCTTCGAACATTCGTTGACAGAGATACTGTAGAACTGATCATCTAAGTAGATAATGAGTAAACATACGCATACTTTTTTATCTTACTATGGAGGATGGAAGAGTTACAGTCCTCAGGTTGATCAAATATTTTTCTTTAATATGAAACTGTTCTGAGGCTCCTTCCGTTACAGGGAAACACATTTCACAGCTTTTTTCACACATTTATTACACAGAGGTGTCTTGACAAGTAGCACTGCTAGACACGAAATAAACAGTAATTTCCAAAACCCGCGAACCAAATACTCCACAAGAGAAAAAGGTTAACTAAATAAAATTACCAGAAAGTAATATGCCTCATTAACAGCTGCAGACAAAAACCTATCAATATTATTGTATTTGTTATGTAACCCGAAACAAAACCAGAATATGCGGTGGGGGTTGTGTAGTTAGCTAATGTCGGTTCATCCCATCTTCAACTAAAATGTTAATAATGGAAACTTTCAAAGCAGTCCAGACTTGACTCAAGGGGCCCAATTCTGCTCATTTTCAGGTTCATATTTGAATGTTGTGCCTTTACTGTAACATGTTTACATGCTTTAATGTTCAAAAAGGTCTTTATTTTTCTCATACTGCCTGTGCTGAAGCACCTCTTTTCACCCTCTGTCTGAAACCAGAGCCCAGTCTGCTCTGATTGGTTAGCTGGCCGGCTCTTTTATGATTGGTAAAACACTTAGCCTATCACGTACAATGTGTTGGAGCGCTAGCCAATAGAAGCTTGAGTGTTACGAAGAGATGTCACCATGTTACTTTACAGAAATAAACAGAGGTGTAAAGTAACTAAGTACATTTACTGAAGTACTGTACTTAAGTACAATTTAAAATGTCTTTACTAGTTGAGTATTTTAATTTCATGCTATGTACTTCCATTAATGATGTGAAATATAATCTACACTTCAATCAGACTTTAGTTCAAGCTGGAGTAAATTCACAAATAAATTAAAACTAGCTGCACCTTTACCAACTTTGATAACACTTTAATGCATCAATAATTATAATCAAAACATGTAATATATATTATTCTGAAATGGACCAATATGCACGATGAGTACTTTTACTTCTGGTAGTTTAAGTTTATTTAGATGCTAATAATTTTGTACTTTTACCTGAGTAACATTTTGATTGCAGGACTTTTACTTGTAATAGAGTATTCCTACATTCTGGTACTTCTACTCTTACTCAAGTGCAATATCTGAGTACTTCTACTACTTCAGGAAATAAATAAATAAAGGAGTCCAATGCAGGCATTTGAGGCAGGGGGGGGGCGGGGATGGGGGATTGTAGTACTGAAATCAATCCGACGTGAAGGTTGGAATCTTTTTCCGTTGCTTGTTTGTCCCACCAGGCAATACTCTCCGTAGCCAGAAAAAAATACATATCGAAGTGCCAACAACTGCAATTGACCGAAAGGCCACTTGAGGCTGTTTCCAAAAGTGAGCTAATCCCTATAAACTCCCATATAAAAACATTAACAATAGAATGTGTTTGCAGCCAGTTACAAAAAAAGATTTTCTGGGGGTGTTATATTTAACTCACCTGTTTTAATTATATTAACAAATGAAGTTAAGCATAATCAAGGTAAAGTGAATATTTATGATATCATAAACATGAAATACCATTTGATCCTGTTGGGCTGACTGTTTCTGATTTTATGTACGTCTCAATGTAGTTTTCTCTGCTTTGTTGGGTCATGATAAGTTGCTTTCTGGGAATGTTTCAAAAACATTTCAAGTGTCTCCCTTCCCTCCTCTGTTGTTTGAGTTTATTTACTCAGTACTGCAGTCAGTGTATGAATGTCATCATTATGATCACCCGGATGCTTCATGGTGCCTCCGCACTGCTACATTTCATTTCCCGTTTTCCACTCACCACTTCCTCTTTGGGCCTGTCTCTTTCTGACTCAAATCATTCTGCCCTTATTTGATCCGGCCCGTTCCATCTTTAAACACCTTTCTTTAAAAGCCGCGGAAGAAGGAGTTCAAATGACACCCTGCAGTTAGCCTTCATCCTACAGTTTTCACCCCAGTCATGTGCTTTTATTTAGAAAAGATGATTTTAGTGTTGTCTAATCATCTCTGCACTTTTTATTAAAAATAACCCATAGTTCCTTGCTTTGTTTGGTGGAGCTATGGCATCATATTGCAGGTTACTGGCTGTAGTATACGCTTTCACATAATTACCTTGCTTCCCTTAGTTGTTTCTGCTGCTATAACTTGAATCTTCGAATCTTTGAATTGAATCTTGCATACTCCTGACTACCACTTCTTTCTTGCACAGCACACATGAAGTTTACAGTGCTTATTGACGCCAATTTTTAGCTTGTAGAACAGTTTTCTAATTGCAATCCTCTGCTTGGCAGAATAATTGCCATGGGTCAGCTATCAAGATGAATGCACGAATACCACCCTGAGGCTGAGGCAACATAGTTCTTACTCAAGGCTAGGAATACTTGCGTCACTTTTATATGGGGGTGTGTGTGTGTGTGTGTGTGTGTGTGTGTGTGTGTGTGCGTGAGTGTGTATGTGTGCTCTCCTTTTGTAACAGTAACCACAGCCTGTGTTTTTAACGGACTGAGCAGATGTGAAAAAGGAAGGAAAAGGAGACAGAAGTTGCCCTAACTGCAACAATGCCTCTATGATATCAGTGAATATAGTGTGTGCTACATAGATACAATTGCACTCACTGAGTTCGATGTTTAAAGTGAAAACATGCTTGGCAAATATCTCCCAATTAAGCTCAGAAATGCTTCAGATGTCCAGTTTTCATAATATTACTCTCAGATAATGTGCTTTTGAATTTTACAAGCTATACTTTACTGTAATATGACATACTTTTACTTATTTAAAACCCTGTATTAATAATACTTTATGTTAGAAGTATCATATCTATCTGAAAAGTCAAAGGTCAACTTTAGGGTCAACGCCCTGTGTGAGGATGTTCAAAAACCTCTTGAACATAGATCTCATCTATGACAAACAACCTATATGTTCAAATTGGGTTGTCAAATATTTACTAACTTGAGTATTGATGTTAAGACTGCTCAGCCTGAAGCGGGGTGACCAATGGTCTCAATGGTTCGCAGCGTCAGTTGCTCCTAATAAAAAAATTGTATGATTGGATTGCAGTGACTGTATGAACATTCATTGATGAAACCTTTCATTTTCTCTGAGTTTTACTGAAAGATAGTTCTACAAAGTTGAAAAGATTTACCTCATCACATGAGCAGGAAATCCTGTTTGTATTCCTTCCTTTTTCCATGGACACGACACTAAGAAGGTCATGATCTGAGGGCTCCTTAAGTGTACTGTCTTTAAGAAAACCATTATTTAAAACTGTTTGGGGTTAAATCATTTATATTAAATAAAGACTTTGATATGTTTTTTGTACTGAATTTGATATAGATGAATATGGAATATGGGACTGATTTGTGAGAATCCAATATATTGTACTGTTTTTCAACTTACACAGTTTGAGGCTTCTCTAAGATTATACAACTGTTGATTATATGAAGAAACATTCAGATATTTTGTACCTGTACCGTTTATCTCAATTTCAAATGAAACCACTTTTAGTCCTGGGACAAAAAGAAAAGAGGGCCATATTGTGCCAATGAATATGGTCTGAAGGGACAACATGACCCTTGAAAGCAAAAGAGAAAGGGTGAAATTTGGTCAAATGGAGAATGTAATGACATTGAATGTACATTCTTTTCATGGGAATTTGCATTATCCTCTAAATGTGCTTCTAGCACCACCATCTACTATTGGGTTTATTGTTGTGGAATTTGGTGATTATATTCAGAGTCATGATCATGATCATTTTTTTAAACCTCCATATTTTTCTAGTCATCCTTAAGGCAAATAAGCTGTAGCAACTATTAGCATGCTCTAAAGTGAGATGCTTCCTTATCATTGTGTGAGCATGTTAGTGTGTGACTGTTTATCTTTAAAATCTCCCAGAAACATTACCCCCACAACTGCCGAAGTTCAGTCACTCTTTCAAAATAGACTTCCTTTAAAAAACACCAGGATGTGGCTACCGTACTAGTTAGCAAATGCTTGACTTCCTGCAGCAGCCACTTGTTCACTTTGGCTAACTGCCAGTTCTAGCAGGTCCTCAAGGCAGGGTAGCATATTCTCAGCTTGTGTGAGAATGTGTGCAGGAAACGGCTGCCTTAGGTTTCATATGTGGGGGCAGATGAGCCTTTAACCAAAACAGTTTATAAGCAGGTCAGAAAACCAGAAGAACTAAAGGTAGTACAGACCTGCAGAGTGCAATGCTTAAACACAAATGGTCTTGCTTCATTACTAAATGAATCACAATTGTTGGCTAATGGCTAAACCAGGGCTTCTTTTTATTTTTTATTAAATAATTAGTAATTTACCAAGGATGAAATGTTAACGTTTTAACATACCTGCATTTGATGAAAATAGATATTTGTAAGGTTACTTACATTAAAAACACGACAATTGATTATTTATAGGGAATATAAAAGGGAATGCAAAACAGTTTTGAGTGACAATGTTATATCTTGGATAATAATAAACCACACCACTGATTGACTGTACATGGAGTCAATTGAACTAATTAACCTTTTAAATGAGCAAAAGACAGACAGACACAAAGTCTATAGTTTATCTTGTTTAAGTTCCAACATTTTTAAAATCTAAATGGATCGGAACCATGTCAGGCTATAACAGAGGCACTAGAACAAGTTTGCATTGGGAAACAACTTCCTCTAAATAACCTTAAGGTTTTATTTCATACTTCTGTTGGCCGACAGCCATTAGCCTAACGCAGCAAATGAGGGAATGGTTCCCTTGAATCCATGAAAGCCATTACATTAACAATCACATTGTAAAGCTTTGCATATTAAATCATTTATAAGAGCAGTCCAAAAACAATGGCTCAGATGAACAGTTAAAATTACAATAACAAAGTGATTAAACACACCCATAGCCCTGTTTTTAAATGTCATACCAAAGTCAGGTTTCACAATAGGGTTCGAGTCTTAATCAAGGTGCAGGTTGGTGGGAGATTCAAAAGGTACATCACATACATTTTTAAGATTTACCCACTAGTGCAGTGGTTCCCAACCTGGGGGGCGCCAAAGATCGCAGAGGGGGCGCCAGGCCTCAGATGATTTCAGGCCAAATATCATATTTAGACTTTTTAAAAAAAAATTTATATATATTTTTTTGTTTACATACAATTGTAAGGCAATACATGATTGTCACTAAAAGCCTTGTCTCTACAGTACATTACAATAAAAATATTAAAAAAAATTAATTAATTAATTAGAATAAAAATTCAAGTTAGTAGCTAATATTGGCATAAAAAGACAGAAATGTATAATTCTTTCTTTAATAGAAATGTTTCTTCTGCCCGTAAAGTGTCCAAACCAGGCTTTGTCTGGATAAGCGCATTTTTAAAACATAGTCATTGTCCATGCCGGTTTCAGTTGGATTATTTGTCACAGTTGCTCCGATCAGATCGGTCTCCTCCATTTTGTAGATTATTTACGACTTTTGAATCCACATAAACACATCGGCAAAATCCGGCTTACTTTGAGCATGTGTTTTAAACAGTTTAATCCCTTTGTGAATTGTTTCCACTTGTGCCGTCCTTTAATTTCTTCATACAGCGGGAATCCAAATGAATGAATCCTGAGTCCAATAACCATCAGTCACTCCAATAGTGCTCCTTATTTACGGGGGGCTCTTGGGAAAAAAGGTTGGGAACCAATGCTCTCAAAGATGCAGCACGACGTGAGCAATGTGTCGCACATACTAGTAAGCAAACCAGCCGATAGTGATTTAGGGTTTTAGAAGAGCGGCCCTACTTGGATCAACTTGATATCAAATGTCCAGATTATTTGTATTAGACAGGGTAAAAACAAAGATGAAGCACTTACAAATATGTTAAGTATTTCCTGAAGTTGTATTCTTTAGGCATGATATTTGAAATGTCTCAAATGTCTTGTCCAGAATAAACGTTGTTCAATACACTGGCTCATCTGCAGAGCATATTTCATGAGCTTGTCTTGATGTTCTGTAATGTCCAACGTTTCCATCTGCTGCATCTGGCAGGTTGAAGGAAACCTTTTTTTAGTTTGGCCCAGATTCACCAGTCTGTGGTTTACTTTCAATCGTCTCCAAAGACCGCAGCTTCCTCTCACTATACTCGTAACAACAAAAAAAAGCAAAAGTGAAGCCCTGAGAGGCAGAAAGAGTAGGATTTGCCCTTTGCGGTTTGTAAAGTCGAAATGTAAGACGGCCACAGATTCATGCTCGTTTTGGAACAAGCTTTGTCCGTCTGGTGTTTTAGGCTGACATCATAAAACTGCCTCCAGAAAGCAAAATGAAACGATAAGAGAAATCCAGGGTCCACATATCACCTACATTCTTGTGGTTTTTAGTGATAATCGAGAGGGATTCATTTGATATGCACTGTTTTTACATTACATGTTACTTGGGGTTTGAACCTGTGCCCCCCTGATCCGAACACCAACGCACAACCCACTGCGCCACACGCTATTCATGTTCTATTCAACTGTACACTATTTCTAAAGCCCTGCAAGGTGGTGAGCCTCAAACTCTAATTGTATACACTGACAAAACAGGCCCATTTATCAAACGCAGTGTAGTTTCAGACTTTCTGCGATGACTTCATACGACCCTGTGTTTATCCTTTTATCTCACAGTTATGTTTATGACAGCAGAGGCAGACTTTGGTCGGCGAGGGAACGACTGAACAGAGAGAGACACACAAAGGCTGAGGGG